TTTTAAATTTTAACACATTTTAAGATTTGGAGATCGATAAGCATTTTATTCGTTTTCTGTTCTTAACACAGGAATTCTGCTCCTCTGACTGAGGTCCTGTGGATTTTACACACAAACTGCTGCTTTATATACATTTAATGAAAGTGTACATTAAAGTACATTTTCATTAAATGTTCATTGAAGTAAACATGACGACGGTTGGATTTTATCACAAAAACATTTTATAAATTCGCCAAATAAACAACCTAATTATACCGGATTAAGACTAATTACGTTAAATAATCGGGCTAAATGTTTTTCCCCACAGTTTATTACAAAGGGCCAACAACTCCCAGTACCCATTATAATACATGTGTTTCACCTAAATATAAATATTCATTAAAATGGTAATTTAAAACAAGTGACCATCTGAGAATGGATTACAGCCGAATGATGCCTTTTAACCATTTGCTATAAATTTGGCCTTGTTAGTCCTTCAGCGTATATGTCTTTTTTTAAACTTAATTATTTGGTCATATCTTTCTTACTCAGTTGTCAGATTGATCCAGAAAACAATCACAGCATCAATCAATTAATCCGCTTCAAACAAACCAATAAACACCGTATCGCTTGTTGTTCGGCATAAGCCGTTTGATAATAAGATGAGTACCGTGTATTAAATTGTCAGACACGACAGATTTCCCGAAGACATCTTTTAAAAGGTTGTTCCATTTCATTTTAAAATCCAACCACAGAAGGTGGCTCCTGCTTTGTTTACGCACGGCCTCTCCGCGCTCCCGTGGCTCAGCCGTTTTTAAACGCCAGTCGGTCCAGGTTTACGTAAACCACTAAACTAATACAGCTTTCCCCTCTCAGTCCCTTACAAGTTTTTCTCGGACCCTTCCGGCCTGAACGAGAAGAGGAAGCAGCGGCGCATCAGGACCACCTTCACCAGCTCCCAGCTGAAGGAGCTGGAGCGAGTCTTCGCTGAGACGCACTACCCAGACATTTACACCCGAGAGGAGCTGGCACTGAAGATAGACCTGACCGAGGCCCGGGTACAGGTGAGAGGAACTTCAGCTTGCTAAACCTGACCAAACACCAGAGTCATTATTAGCTTCTCCGGACCAAAATATTAGTTAAAATTGATTCATGTTACAGTTAGGGACCGTTTATCTGAGTGTGTATCTATAAGCAAACATTAGTTGTACCTCTGGCTGTGTTTAACAGGTGTGGTTTCAGAACAGGCGTGCCAAGTTCCGTAAGCAGGAGCGTGCAGCCAATGCCAAAGCCAACAACTCTGGTGGCACCACAGGCAGCACCACCAGCAGCAGCTCTGGTGGGAAGAAGGGCGGAGAGCCGAGATCTTCCTCAGATGATGATGAGTCTAAAGAGTCCACCTGCAGCCCCACACCTGACAGCACGGCCTCCCTGCCGGGCTCAGCCAACGGGAACTTGGGCAGCCCTGCCAGCCTGAGCCCCAGCCCAGCTCCTGCCAACAGCGTCTACGCTAACACCTCCAGTTCTCCGGTTCTCCAGGGTCTGAAGCCGCCCAGCTGGTCCAGCCTGGGGCCGACCAACCCGGCTGTTGCCCAGCCCGCTGCCCAGACTCAGGAGATTCTGAAGGCCTGGCAGCCGGCGGACAGTATGACTGGGCCCTTTGCCGGAGTCCTGTCCTCCTTCCATAGAAAACCCAACCCCACCATCAAGACGAACCTGTTCTGAAGCACAGAGGAGGAGAAACTGACAGACAGACATTATGTGGTCCACTGGAACCTCCAGGAGTTTCTAGCTTTTGTTAAGAGTGTCAAGACTTGCCCATATTAACGCTGAACTCACTGGTGTAGTCTGCTGTAGTGCAGTGATGCCCTCAGTTCTTCTCTAACAAACTATCCTATCAAACTGATTCAAAACACATAATGAAATCAAAAGTCTGGTCCCTATCTCACTCCCAAAAGATTATGCAACTGTGCCCATTATAGCTGAAAAACGTAGCCTGGACATGGACAGTTTCCTTCCTGCAGTGGCTTTAACTCCACAGTCATACCCACTGATCAGTGCTGCTCACACAGCTTGTCCACCAGACGTCACTCTTCGTCAGATGAAGTGTTGTTTGCTCTATCTAATGACTAAACCCTTCACACTGTCATATGTGTCCAGCTAAGTTTCATACAGACTTCTGAGTCATACACATCTGATATACATACACCTGTTGTGCATGAAGCCACAGCAGCAGCTCTGATGAGCGCTGCAGTCAAGTACGAGCTTAAAGCAGAATTCTAAACATCACGCTCAAATCTCTGCTGGGGAAAACAAACTTGAACCCTCAAGCACAACTTCGTCTAAGCCCCCTGACACACAGATCCCCACCAGAAGGAACAGGGTGCCCTAAAGCTCTCTTTGCCAAGCATTGCAGGGCACCCCACAATCCAATTAGAGCAGCCGGATCCAGACCAGACAATTCTTCCCCTCCTTCGTATTTACGGTATTAAGTCCTGACTCCCACATCCTCAGTGTGCCCCTCCAGGCTTTATGGTCCTATCCATTCACACTCTCTGCCCCATCATGCCTTTCTCTATCAAACAGTGGGTACTTTGTTAAAATTTAGCAAAGGAGAGAGACAGAATTCTAAGCGTTTGTGCCTGTTTTTAGCTCACATCTACTGCAGTTTACTGCCCTGAGAGGTGGAGAGCTGCAATTATACACAGAGCAGAGTGTTGGTCTAATTATAACTGAGTGTTATAATTCATTATTATAATTTCCAAGTTTTGCCACTGACTGAAGAGATTTTGGATGATTCTCCTGCTGGATAGAGGGAAATGGGTGAGTTTGTTCTGCAACCAGTGCTATGAACTACTGCAGACTGAGAACTCACCACTCACTCCAACTCCTTAATCAGTTTTTCAGCCCAGGTTCATTAAATCTCCCAGGGTAGACAAATACGAGACGATCTATCAGAGACGCACGATGCAAGCTGGTCAGATAAAGTGGCAATATACTGAGAGAAGGAGTTTTCTACTGTACGTCCAGGAACACCCTCATTTTGTTCCCGTTGCATTTTCCTGCAAAGAAGAGAGATTTTTTTGGGAGCGTTTCCTCCAGAAATCTACTCAAAAACAGGAAAAAAATACATATTTATTAATACTTTTTATTATGTCTGTGAGAAACCCACGCATTTCTTTGTAAAGCTCCATGAAAATTTTGTGTGTAAATTCTGTAATTAGTATTATAAATATTAGGTAGCCTTTTGTTTCTGTCTCACAATGCGTTACAGATTTATTTCACTGCAGAGCATCTGTCTCACAGACCAACATGTCCACGGAAACTATGACCACAGACGCTCTAGTGAATGAGAAGTTATAGCACTACTCTGAATATTCTAATAAATCTACATTATGGAAACACTACCTGATGAGTTTTACGATCTGGTTTCTTGTGTGTGACAAAATGAGAGTGTTGTGTCTTATGTACAAAATCAGACTCAAAGCTGTTTTCATCAACACTGAGATGTGAGCTCCTGCAATCAATAAAAACGTAAATGCCTGTCACTAATTTTCATTTTACCGTACAGTCTTTCCTTTTCCCCATACTGAGGCAGATCCACGGCTCACAGACCAAAACTGTTTCATCCTTGCAGCTTTTCGTGTAGACAACAAAAACCATGACATAGTGAATCTGTAAAATAAGGAAAGATATTAAGTTTTAATGGAAAAAAAACATGGTTGAACAAGTTACATTAATTTAACATAACCAAAAGAGAAGACTACATGAAGGAACAAGATAAAATGGAGTGTGTCAGCGGAAACAACAACAACAGCAAGTCTCTTTTTCAGTCATGCACACATCACTGAGAACACTGAAAGGCCAAAAAGGCTTACAAAGACATTAAACCCATGTGAACGGCAGATCCACAATATTATCATTTGACTGTTAAAAGATTAGACATATTTTACAACACATGACAAGTGAGTAGCTTGAGTCGCAGATTCTGTGTGAGCAACGTAATTCAACTGTGTGTTTAGGTCACCAAGAAAATTAGGTGTGTGAACATGGAGTCTTTCTTTCCAACAAGAATAAAGCTGCTACAATCACATCCTTAATAACACTATCATATTTAGTCCCACTCAGGCAACAGCACAGTCATTCAGTCTAGATTTCTACTTTTGAGGCCTTCTGATAATATGGCAAAACTATTTTGACATATTTTAGTAGCCAGGGCAGACATGTCATGTGCTTAAGTAGAGAAATCTTTGCTGTGGTCCACCCTGATGAAGGAAAGGTGTCCGTCTTTCAAAACAATAATAAACTGGCTTTTCGGTTCCACTTCTAGTCTCACAGGCAAATGAGGAGGATTTAAGATAAGAACAAATAAAGGCAGTATGAACAGTTAACTCAGATTTTAGCTGCGTAAAAACAATATATAAACAAACCGCTGGCTAGACAGTAGAACTTATTTCACTAGACATGACTTGGTTGTGTCTTCTCTACTGATGAGGTTTAAGGAGTGGCAGCACCACCTGCTGGGTGCATCAGTACACAAGTGCCCTCACACCGGCAGCGTTTCTACTGCGAGATGTGACACTGTCTCCCATGTGCACACAATGTGCCATGATCCTAAAACTAGGCCACATGTCTAGTAATGAAACAAAGGACCAAATATAATCAGACAAAAGTCTAACTATGAGTAAAAAATAAAATGTGTTGGTGACAAATGGTTTGGTTAAGAAAACGACAACACGATGGCTTAGTAAATCTTCAGTAGAGAATTCATCATATAATCTACTTAGCTATCTAGCTAAGTTAACCCATTCCCTGAACACTGCTCCATTTACAGTGTTTCAAATGAACTCGGTAAAAGAAGTGACATGAAGCCAAACCTGGATCATATGATGCTAAACCAAGATGGATGCTCCTCTGTAAACTGAATGAGAAATGAAAATCTTTAAAGTGAGATTTCACTTAGGTGCAGCATTTATCACCTCATGAGAACCTCTGATGTTACTGCCTCATCTACTTGATTCCAATCAAGACAGTGCCAAGAAACACTGTGCAGCATGCGTCAGCTTACGTGTAAGGAAACTTACAGGTTTATGAAAATAAATTAACTTAGAATATAATAATGGAACTCGCTTGCCACAGAAAAAAAGTTGAAATTTAAATGATGTGTGTAAATCACACACCAGGGGCAGCTGATGCCACGTTGATGCTGCTCCAAGGTGAAATATGCACTTTCAGCTCTAACAGCTGGTTTGGTTGGTTTGTTCCATATTCCCTTTATCATGGAAAAACATAAAACCATAAATACACGCAGAGATACCGAGACAGTAAATTCCACCATTTCAATTAAAGTGGCCCAAACATGATCACAGAAGCAAAGCAAAAACAAATTTTAAAAGGCAGTCTGACACTCCCAGTTCTTCTCCTGCCTCCACTTCCTGTCCAGCTCCATTACAGAAGGGTGATGGTGGCTTGACATTATCTCAGGTGCTCTCTAACAATTACCACAGTTTCCCTAATGGGAGCTCTGACTCTCAGAAGAACATGGGAGTTTTCCCAAAAAAAAAAAAAAAAGTTTCAACTGAGGGGGCAAAACACGGGCAGTGTGCTTTCAAAGCTAAAAGCCCCCTTTTCGTTTTGCTTTCAACTTACAAGCCTGACATTTCCCACTTCTGAGGAAACTCTGCCAGTCCTCAGTTAAGGTTTCTCAAGACAAAGAAAAGAAAACTTTAATTCTGGCTTGAAGCTGTAGGTCAGATGTGATGATGTGACATCAAGTCTTCAGCTGCTCTACATGAGTCGCGTCTCCAATTGTGTCTGGCCAGAAAAATATTATTTCATCCTGCCTCTTCTCAGTTGGCTTAAGGTCGGGGCTTATGTAGTGATGCTTGAAAGACTGAACTGATTATCATTAAATAAGGCCACTTCAATGACAATGACAACACATACGTACAGTACATGTGAAAAATGATGTAGGTTCAGAGTGTTTGCAAAAAAAAAAAAAGGAAAGTACAAATGAAGTGCAATTTCTCTCAGAAGGCACAGTCTGGCATCAAGTGGCACATTCCAGCTCAGTTCAGTTTAGCTGAGATTTGGCCTCTTGGGACCTGGTGTGGTACCAGGCCGCTTTGGACCAGTCATAGACCAGTTTGGTGCAGTTTATTTCTGCTGCTACTGCCTGAGGCTCTCCAGCAGGATTCGCTTGTGGGTGGGGTCGAGCACTCCCGCCTCCTCCAGGTCCTCTTCAGTGATATCACTGGAAAAAACAACACAAGATGTAACAAACAGGTCAACCAACAACACAAGGGTACTGGACAAAAACAGCTTTCTATGAATTTACTGATTTTATAGATTTGTTTTTCCCAGCTCTGCTTAATCAGTCATAACACATACCAGTAGAAACAGAAAATAAGAATGAATGTTAACATCTCTGAGTGCGCGTACCTGAGGAACTCCAGGTCGTCCCAGCCGTTGTGTAGAAGTCCCTGTTCATACCGCTCCAGTCCCAGTCTCTGCAGCCACTCCCCCACCGAAGATTCTCCCACAGACAATGACGAACTACGGCTTCCCCAAAGTGCCTGCTCAGGAGAAAAGTGATGCTGGATCAACTAAAACCTGCCGCAGGAACATCTCTGCTCATCACACATGCCAACAGTGACAGTAGGAGATACAATATGCAAACTTGGCACGGTCCCAGAAAGCACTATCATTTAGATTAAAACGGAAGAGATAAGACATCCAGGTCCTCTGGTAACAATTTACAGATGGCTGTATATGCCATAGAGGCTTGTCATGCTGTGTTATGTAATGGCTAAGTTTTCAGGTAAAGCCCTAGTTTGAGAGAACTAATGTGTTTGTAAAATGAAAACCCTAATTACACAAAAGGCCACACTGTAGCTGCCAAAACAATAACTATCACATAAAAAAAATGAACGAGCCACTGAGCTAAATGTGAATTTAGACTGGCCGTTTACCTCCTCAGGCATGTCCTCTGCAATGCTCTCTGTGATGGGATTTCTGGGTGGGAAGGTGCGGCAGGTGTCAAGACCTAAACCCATGGACTGCCCTCTTAGAGGCGGCGGAGCAGAGGGAGTGCGTGTAGGCTGCCCAGGAAATTCACTCTCACTCAGTGTCTTTGCCATCTGGAGCACAGAACATGACTGGTCATCCAACGCTCCTGGTCCAACTCCTCCTCCTCCTCCTCCTCCTCCTCCTCCGCGCCAAAAGGTCTCTCCGAGGGCCAGTGGGGCACCAGGATTGGCTGCTGGGATCCTGACTTCTGCCAGGTCTGGGTAAAGAGGGCGAGGTTTGGGGAAGGGGGCGTCTGCACCCATCTCCAGGGCTCCCTTAGGGAGAGGAGGAGGAGGGAAGTCTGGAGGGGGTCGATTCAGTGTGCTTCCAACCGTTCCTCCGACACCTCCCCCCTGTGCCCCCACCACACAAGCACCTCCATCATCTTCTGAGGACCCCTCCTCACTAATGGCACGGACCGTGTGTCCTGCCATGATTCTGCGCTGGTGTAGAGGCATTGAGGCTGCGCAAGGGGGTTTGGTTCGGGCTCCAGCTGAGGGAGGAGGGGGTTTAGCTGCCTGGGGGTTTGTGGAGGTAGGAGATGGGAGAAGCTCAGGCGAGAGAGCAGCTGCTGACTGGTTGGGAACACCCTCCAGGATGTAGTAGGCAGGATTATTGTAGCTGTTCTTGCTGATGGATGGATCGCTGTCTGAAGCATCCTGCTTAGGCCTTAGCAACACACAAAGCAACGCAACAGATGGATGATTTCTCAACTTTTTTCTTACATCTTTCCACATAAAAAAATGTGTGTATATGAAATTTAAGGGCACGTTTGCTGGTCAGTGTGTGTACGGTACATGTGTGTCTGTACCTTGCAGCAGTTTCCTCCTTGATCATTCTTTCTCCCTCCTCATTGACCTTGCCTAGCTCTCCTGATGGTTTCCGAATCATAGATGGCCTGCATGGTGGACACGGCAGAACAGGATTCTCATTATCAGGTGAGAGAAAATACAGAATCCCAAACTGGGTTTAAACATACTTAACTGGTCCACAGTATTTTTTTTTTCATCTTACCTTGAATTATTTGGGTCTCCAATATAATGTACATAGGTACAGAGCAGCTACCCATTGTATGTGTGTACATTTTTATAAAACATTCATCTTTTTGCATTTTATTTATAAAACCCCATCAAGTGCAAAGTTCGAGATGCAGAGTACTGACTTGATATAGTCATGTCCCACTCTGGATACCATCGTGGATTTCCCTTTAGGCCCGCCTGTCTCATCCTTGTCCACGCTGATCCACTCTAAATTGCAACAATAAGGAGTTACATGACACACTTACAGCATGTCCTATGTCAAACTGCATAATTTGGACAATTCAGCTTAAAGCTTAAAAAGTTCTTTCATGTGTCTCAACTGCTTCTTTTATAGTCATTTATGGTCCTTGTCTGTCTGCACAGTACACCAGGCTATTACCACACAATTACATGTGCATTACCATAGAGTCTCTCCCTGGTTCCCATCCTTTCTGAGGGGACTCTGACCCTCATGGACCCCCTGATATTTCCTGTCTCCTCACCGCGGTGAGACAGGTAAGTGTGGAACTGCTGCGCTGTGCTGCCAATCATTGACTTCAGAGCCAACACACATTCTCCTAGCAGGAAAACAATACATTGTTTCTTTTAGTCTGGTAAACAACGAAGTCAGTTTGTCAAATTCAAACGGTTACATGGCCACACCACAAACATAAACCTTTTGTTTATACCATAGGACTCATATCCATCCAGTGACTTCACTGTCAGCAGCAGATGTTGGTCCTGCAGGTACTCAATCTCTGACAGAAGAGGTTTGAGCGTTGTTAGCTGCTTGTTGGACCAGCCCACACGTAGGAAGTTGATGTTGTCACTGCTCTGACTGTCGTTCTCGTAACTCTTCTTAAACTCTAGAGATAGGAGACAGAGAGAAATGCAGGGCAGTGTGGAGGACAAAGGGAACGGAAAAGAAGGAAGAAAAGGAGGGAGATGTTTCTATTGCATTTCATTCAATAGTACACAGTGGACAGGGGGGAAGCACAGGTCAAAAAATGGATTCTAAGTTAAAAGTATACTGACTGCCTGGAGGGAGGGAGGGCGAACAAAAACAAGAAACAAAGAATGTTATTACATCCACCTGGTGTTACAAAAACTCCACCTGCACTATAACCCTTGGTGGAATTTGTCAGACAGTGAAAAGTGTGACTGAGTCACCGCAAAGGTGCACATGTGTTCATCTCACCTTCCAGACAAGTTGAGTAGAATTCGATGAAGAACTTGGTTCTGCTCGCCGTCTTCACTATGGCCTCTATGCTCTCAAACTCTATGTAGGCCTGCTCTGAGGACTTTGGCAGACCTAGAGAGAAGCACATGGACAGAAACAAATTACAGATCACAAATTTGATGAAAGTAAACTTTATACAATTAAATAACTGGTGTTCTGTTGTTGCCTTTGTTCTTTTTACCATGTACAAACTGCATGCATATCAAAAAACCTTTTAAAATATAAGCTGTGATGCCACTGCAACCCAGGGACAAAGGTATGAACGAACATGGAGATTAAGTAACAGGCAGCTGTGGTCAGCTCTGCCCACTGACTCACTCAATGTGAGTCATTTAGCAGACTACACCAACAACTGTCCAAATTTGAGCCATCAAATTTAAAACAAATAAGTTCTTGAAGTCAAAGTGCTATAGCTCATCTGTATGTTTACAGAGCAAGAATAGAAGGTAAAGAGACCAAATCAGACCTGGAGAGTTCCTGACAGGAAGGGGAAATAAACTAAGAGAACAACAAATTTAAATAAGTATTTTTAGAGAATTTAAGTTAATTCACTTGTACCTTTCTTGGACACAAACTGGGAGGTCACCCCCACCTCAAAGGTAGCAAACACAGGGGAATGATCACTGGTCACTATATCATCTGTACAACCTGACAAACACAAAACCATAAAGTTAAATCTCGTCACTCATTTGGCCAGAAACATTAGGAGCAGCGCCATAGCATTGCATTAACTTGGCTGCTATCATTTAAAGTAAGAAGTTGAAATCAATAGCAATAATTGTACTTGTGACATTCCGAGTTAGTGACATGTCAAAACATTTATACACGTTTATACAACCTTTGTGGCCATCGCCCTCAAATATTGGGTCACTTTAATATTTAGGTACCTAGCTAACTAGCTACATGAGCGGGACCTTTGGTTATGTTAAAGGGACCTCTGTTACACTGAATTGCTGATGGTCTTACCATAGGAGTTGCAGACAGTGTGTGTTTCTGGGTATGACTTCCACAGGATCCGGTCACACCAGGATGGAACATTAGTCCTCATCTAGGACAGAAGTAGAAGAGGACACAGCGGGGTTATCAAGACAACTCACAAAGAGAGGAAATAAAGTCCTGGAGTAATGTGTGATATTGTTTAACTTAGTAAACACACCCCTGTGGCCTTCTGTTTCTGCCAAATATACGTGTCCCTAGAGCCCCGTTCATAACGGTAGGTGGGTGGGAAGGAGATCTCTTCCTCCGCTGCAAGAAGACGGATTGTTTTAGCAGGCAAGAAAAATGGCACAAAATGTAGCATTTTACAATATCAATGCATCTAATTAACATATTTATTTGAGAAGTTAGCATGCTTTAAAAACAGCAGACAGCTTCTCTTCTTTCCAGCAGTCAGAGTAAGATCAACGGTTTTTGTGCCACAGACAAACGGAAGTACATCCCTGCCAAAACGTTTGAGGGTGCACAGACTACATTTTGAGTGCTACTCAGTTTGCTACTCAGCATTTAAGAGAGTGAAGGTACACGGTGTAAGAATCAGATTTGAGAGCGTGATCCCAGCTATGTGTGCAATGGTTAATGAGTCTGCACGCTCAGACACTGGTATTTCCACTGGGAGCAAGTAGCCACATCCTGTGTAAATGGTTACTTCTGTGAAACACTAATACCACAGCCTTTTTGCTTTTGATTGTAGTACATTGTGTTACATTTACATGAGATCAAATTATATCTAACAATGCAGATGGAAAAGACTTCACCAATGGCTGAAATGCATCTTTCCATAAATATTGTTGATCCTGTGTTACTTTTGGTTTTGTTCTCCTCTCTTTTACAGTCAGTTAAGAAAACAAATGATCTTTGTTAACACTTCAGAGACACAAAAACAGTACGTAAGTAGCAGGTGCTTTTGGGAAGTGACTGAAACTTCGGTTAAAGAT